CCCCCGCCTCTTTCGATAGTTAAAAAAACCCCAAAAGCCAGGGAGTTGATACCTCTGTGAGGCAAGAAACCAGCCTTCAGGACCTCAGTGCATCCACACACTATTGATCAAAGGTTCCCATCAACACACAACTGAACAAAGGCTCCTATTCACCTACCATTGAACAAAGATTTATTGTAGTCTTCTTCTAGTGATGAGTGCTAAACTCTTGGAACAGAAGATGAAAAAACAATATTTTAATAGGAAACAAACCAACTTGGGGTGGTTTTACTGTTGCAGATCAACATTCACTTCTCATTATATTATAGTGTGTTATGATAAGAAGGAGGACTACACCAAACGAACTTTTTGACACATATGACAAAACATCATCAGCTGCAAGGGAAACATCTAAGCAACAATGTTGTTTCCAAAAAAGTTCCCCTTCTCATAGGTTACCCCTGAGCCACACAAACATATCTCATGTATATTTTTAAACATCTTAAAAGTGTTTGTTTCAACAAATAAATTTTAATTGCACAGAGGAGAGACATAAGTTTCTAGTTGAAGCAGTTAAATGACATAAGCCTTACTCAATCCCACCTACGGCAACGTTATTTTACATCTCAACCAAAAAAATTGACCAGACAGGATAAAAATATTCAAAAACTGTAAATTATGATAGATTAAATAGAATGGAGTGTTAGTTCAAATAGCAGTCAAGTCAATATTTCAAGGCTGATTCTTATTTTTTGATTGGTCGGGGCTGGTCCACTGATCCAATTTATTGTCTTCTTTCTCACTCAGATAAAACTTCTCATCAACGTCTGCTTCCCCATTCTGATCTGGCTGGGCCATGGCTCTTCATTCATTTCATCATCTCTTTTATTGTAATGATAAACACATAGACAGCCACTACTGTATAATCTATTTGTAGACTCAAGCTCCTATCAGAGAAATAAGTTCAAGACATTAGCAGGAAAATGCATCAGATGCACACGACTGTAGCTTGCTTTCTAGTAGCACGATAGAGAAGTTTAGAATATCAGCATAAGCCAGAAGATGTGTGTCGAGACTACCTGTATAGTTTGTGATAGAGAAAATACTGATGCAAGCTGGCGGCAAAAGCAATTCTACCAGGTCTACCGGGCAAAGATAGACAGTTTTGGTACACAGTTGGATGCATGCAACAGGCCATGGGGGCCAATTTAGCTGGGAATAGGGTTTTTAAAATCTGATACAAACAGTTAGTATGAAAATAATTTGGTCCGATGATTGACTATTCCGTTTCCTATAATATATATAACGTATATATGTAAAATCATTTTGGAGGGAGTGGACGCTGGCCACAAAAAGTTGTCGTTAGCACTGAAGGAATAAAACGAAGTGTTCCTGAACTACAACACATTCTGGAACATTTTGTCGACAGGAACATCAACTGAACATGATGAGAATCTAGAAGAACAAATACAACGGTCAGACAGAAGGTCAGTCAGCCCAGGTACGTGTGTAGTGTGCCGACTGATGTAGACAGAAAGCACGTGGGGGTGGAGGCTGGGAGCCGTCTCAATGGTCTCAAGGGATGATGATCACAAATTCAGTTCTCACACGACGCTCCACAAAGACTCCCTTGAGTTTCTGAAGACAGCACAAACAGAAACAATTCAACTCTTGTATCAACTAAATAGCTTTTATGACATGTTAACACTTTGCAGTCACTTGGCGCAAAAATGAGCTGATGAAAATTATCCGTTCCGGTCACCTGGTGCCAGGCCCGAGAAGTCTGCTGTAGACACTCTCCTGACTGGGTGACCAGATGGTGTGTTTTGTACTGCAAGCTGTGTGACTGCAAAGTGCTTAAGTGAACAGTATACTATATTTTTTAAGCAGAGGTTTTGCGGACTAATGTTACTTGCAAAACTTTAGCTAAATAAAATTGAAAGTTTTTCAGAGAAGAGCTGTGTAGAGTACTATATTGTTGGAGATTGTCTTTGTCCCTCAAACTTTAGCTCCATCGTTAAAAAGATGCAAAACATAAAAGGTAAGGAAAGAGGAAGGAAGAGTGGTGGTATAAAGGTAAGGCAAGAAACAAGGAAAGATGTGAGTGTCAAGTTCTATAGCAATGAGCTAATCAGCAAACATCAACGTCTGTCTTATCACAGTTAGTCAATCAGATAAAAGCTTGGGGTCCATCAAGAAGATAATTGTTTAACAATGCAGTGGAATCAGGCGCTCCTCAGTTTTTGGGCATGTGGAGTTATTGGTATCATCTGAAAGCTGATTTATTTGCCTTGCTTCCTATGAAATAGATATCTATTTATCTTGAATAGAACTCGAGATATCTGCATTTGAAGAAAGTGAGGTTGCCTGGTTTCAGTTGTGAAATTAGCGACAAAATGGCCACCAAAGTATGGTAACTCCAATAGCTAAAGAGTCTTCGAAAACTTAAAATGACATATTTTCTACCTTTAATCAATGTTTTTCAGTAAAATGGAAATGTGTTTTTCTATGGACATAAAAGAGCTCAAGCCTACAAATATTGAATAAAAATGTCCAAACTAGTGGGAAAATGCCTGTTGTGTTCAACGATTTCATTTCTTTGTCGAGCACCTGATTTCACCACACTGCCTCACATTTGTGCTTGGCCAGACACACGACTGGACGGACCGACCAACCAATCATTGGGTTCATCATACTGGTCTTGTCCAGCCTGATAGTTCCAGCTACCAGATACCCACTCATACATATATATATATGATTCTTTCATCTTCTGGCATCCTTCACTCAACAGGTGGGTCACATTATAGATTATTTCTACACATAATCCCATCCAGGGAAATACACAATCTGTCACAGAACCTTAATGCTTTTACATCATCTACTAGGCTATGTCATGCATTGACATACGTTCACGAAGACGTGATACGACATGTAATCCTCCACCATGTCTCTCCCCCCCCCCACCCTCCCCACCCCACCCCCACTCAAAATATGCACAATCTACAATTGGCGCATGAAGCGTCACAAAAGCCCTAAAACTTTTACCCGAGACAGAGGGTCAGGAGTCTGTCTGCTCCTCCTTCTTCTCCTCCTCCTTGCCTTCTGCTTTTTCCTCAGCATCTTTCTTCTCTCCATCCTCAGCATCTTTTTCTGCATCCTTGCTCCTCTTTTTATCTGTGGTATAAAAAAAGGGTCTATAAGGTACAGGCAAAAGAAAGAACATTCATGGAGCTTCTACTTGTACGGGATAGAGCGCTGTATAAATGCAATCTATTATTATTAATGAAATTTTGTACATTTCCAAAAACATTCCTTTATTCTGAGATGATAAAACTAAATCATAACTAAACTCTTTCAGCGCTACGAACAAGAATTTTTGCCCTGCTGATTTCCGCCCATGAGCGTTTGAAAATTCTCGCTAACAACTCCCCCTCCCCCCCACCCCATTGTCTCTTTGAAATGCTAAACAGTCAGTAAGAGGGTAGCTCCGCCAGCATCTTAATCTATAGTTGCACAAGTAAAAGGAAAACAAGCATCTAGCTATGTTTACATTCTTTTGGATCTGGCGTTGACCAGATGACAAAGACATGTGGTTACTTGAGGGAGGCATTGCGCTGCCAAGAGTGAAATGTTCGCACCTAAAGGGATTTGAAAACAACAACAACAACAACAACATTCTTTTGGACTGACATAATTTGAGTTAGCTTAAAAGTGGGTAGAAAACCTCTGTTATCGGACAACAAGTTATTTCAAAGAGTGAAAACTCCGCGGAGAAGAAATTTTAGTTGTTCACTGTGAGTGAGAGTAAAACACTTGGAGAGCTATTTAAAAAACACGTGTACAGCTAGAAATAAACAAGTGTAAGTAATGTGTGCTTATGTAGGAGGCACGACCTTTGAACTTACTGGCCATTTCCAATACAATCAAGTGGAAGGAGACCCTCAGGAACCCCCAAAACAGTTCAAATTAAAAAACATCTTGTTGGAGCTTCAACACTCCATTACAGAACCATCTAAAATACCAGTGCCCTTGATATATATACATACCATTATAATGGAATGTAAAAAAAAAAGTCGGATCCATTTGAATTCACACCTCAAACTTCACCTACTAGTCAAGATTAGAACCATTTTCAATAGAGTTGCCAGCTACAGATTTTTGTAATCTTTACAAGAAAACCAAAAAGTTAAATTGAATGCATTCCTATAAAGAACAAACGCAGGAAGAGCTCAATCAAGAGTAAAAGTAAAACATGAAATGACGTCCACTCACTGAATTCAGAAACGTAGATCAGTAGCCTTGCCACAAGGTCTAGGTAATCTTTCTGAGGAAAAAAAAAATAACAGCATTCTCTTTAAAAAAGAAATTCTTTTATATGATCTTCTTCAACATGTCTACTTTGTATCATGTTCTTCAAAACAACTTACATGTTTTTGTTTGTTTTTAATCCCACAGAAAATGACCAAAATACGATAATCTGTTTTAAAGCATGCACAACAGAAAGGCTGATCTTACTGAGCATGCACATTACTCTCTCACTCTTGTCACAAGAACAATAAATTTGTGTCACGACACGGTGGAATCAGGCGCTCGTCAATTTTTGGGCATGAGGAAGTATTGGTATCTTCTAAAAGATCATTCTTTTGCCTTGCTTTTGGAGGAAAAAATACCAATTTATCTTGAATAGAAGTTGAGACATTTGTGATTGGAGAAGGTGGGGGTCACCTGGTTTCACAGGTAAAATTAGGGAGGTGGCAGCGAAGGTTTGTATTTTCCAATGTCTTGAGGGTCCTTGAAAACTAAAATTGTAGGCTACACATTTAATTTTTGTGCCTTTAATCAACGTATTTCAGTCAAATTCACATGGAAACAGCTTTAATCAACGTTTTTCAGTCAAATTCACTCATGGAAACAGGCGTCGGTGGCCTAGTGGTTTATATACTGACATTAAAAGGTGTTGAGCCAAACAATAAAAATTAGATAAAAATTGACAAACTGGCGGGAAAAAATGCCTTCTATTTCTTCGATTTCCATATTTTGATGAGCGCCTGATTTCTTCACGATGCCTCACATTTATCTACAACAACAAGGAAGCCAAGGACGTTCAGAGCAGGCGAGGTCACATCGTCCAAATTTGAAGTCTGCCATGTTTCACTCAGGGGCAGGCAGCACACAAGAAAAACTTCACCACAACAAAAAAATGTGTCACAATTGTTAAAAACGTTTTACAGCATGAGCATAGGTACTTAATGGTCTGCTTGTGGTTTAGGTCAATGCTTGTGGTGCAAAGGAGTCACAAAACAAATACACAATTCTCAGAAACACCGACACATGATGCAACTCCAAAATGGCTTTTTAATTGCCACTTTATGTTTAATCACCTTAACAGTACAAATATTCTTTCTTTTAAAGTTAATTCTTTTCACAAAATGAAACCTACTTTTCTGGGGGGGGGGGGGGTTGTTGTTTATTTTAATAAATGACACTGAAATAATATCAAACAACTATTTCAAATATAACAAAACAAAGGGAGAATGCTGAGATGAAGACAGCCGGGTTTTATCAAATATTTAGAAAGGAAAAACAACTCCAAAGAAACTTAAAAATCCAGAAAACTGAACAATCATCAACAAATAACTGAGCGGAGCAGAGGTACAAAAATAAAATTATGAAAACTACGAACGGTCACAAACAGATAACCAGACAGGGGTACAATAAAACTTTAAAAACTACAGACAATCACAAAATATTGAGAGGCATCATGCTGAAAGCTGGCACTTGTCAAGATAATGAAAAAAAAAAAAGAAAGTCGAACTTTTCTGCTCGATGGTCAATTTTCATAATTTTTAGAAATTTTTGGGCTCACACCTTTGATGTCCATTTAAAATCAGATTTCTGTTCGGATTTTACTGAAAAAAGCAGATCAAAGGCACAAAAAATGTAAGTTTACGCTTCCCAAGGACACTCAGAAATTACTATATGTTCTCCAGTGTGTATTACATTAAAACGTCAACCACATAAAGACTTTGGACAAAAATTCAACAAAGAATACCAGAGGACAATAGCTTAGATCAATTTGAATTATAATCAAAACCAATTGATAAGTTAAAAAAGCCCTATTTGAAGCCGAGCAAACAAATCAAATCCAAGACTGTAAACGTACAAGTAGTCTGACAATAGGAAATTTCAGGAAAAAGGTTCAACATTTACACAGAATCCACAGAAATTCACACCGGGCGTCATAAATCTGCAAGCAAACATCAGTTGACAAATTTCTGTAAATCTTGGATGCGCACATCACTTGTTCACCCTTATAATTTATTTATTTATATATAGACAGGCTTTGCAATTAAGATTTCAAACCCAGGTTTTCAGTATTCAATAGTAATTTAATTTCTGGGCCTGCGTGTATGGTTAAAATGCGTGCGTGTGTGTGTGTGTGTGTGTGTGTGTGTGTGTGTGTGTATGTGTGTGTGAGTGTGTGTAAGTGTGAGTGTGTGTCTTTGTGTGTACATTTACAGGAATTTGTAATGTATGTAGGTAAAAGAGTGAGTGTGTGTAAACTGTGCAAGTGTGTATGCATTTGTGTGAGTGTGATATGTGAGTGAGCGCGTGTTCTGTGTATAGGTACATTTGTGTATATCTGTAAGTGTGCATGTACTGTGCTAGTGTGTACGTAAGTGTGTGTATAACAAGCTTGTACATGTATGTGTACAAGAATATTAGCGTTTGTGTTTTGCCACATGCCTTTGACTTTCACTTCTCTAAATGAACAAGTCACAGAGAAAAAAACACCACAAATACCCACATGTAAGCCAGAACATGCTGGGTCATTGCAAGACCAAAATTTGAGAGAAATGAAAAGAACTGCAAAACCTTGTCAAAGTTCTGTATTTCTCCTGGTAAAGGAGGGGGTATCATAAACATGTAAGTTGCAATTTTACTACATCTTTTTCAGTAAAAACCGAGAAAATAGTACAGTAGAACAAAGCTCATATCCAAGGTTCTGTCATTGTCCCTACCAAACTCACGTTCAGGGTATCATTCAATCAACATTTTCAATCACTCTGCAGGCAAAACTCAGGGCTGGCATGCTTGCATCGACATCATATTCATTCAATCTAAAATATAAAAAATAATTCCCATTTTCAGATTAAAGTTTGTCTTAATAGGCGGAGGCTCGTCAAATAAACAATTTGCCATGACTCTTTAGAAGGCAATACAGCAATACCAAAATTCTAAAAAATTCTTCAACAAATCATTCTGTTCACGTTGACATCTGCCAAATGCATGACAAGCAAAATATGTCACATACAGAAGTTACTTCCATTCTCAACATCCGACAAAAGGCTGAGAAATTAATTTATTTTGCATAAACAGAGCTTGTTGGTAATATGACAAATAACATACTGATCAATATTCATAATTTTAATATTTCATCAAGTATGTGTGGGAGTTCAGCACTAGAAAGCAGGGAAAACTACGATAGATCAAAAATCCACGAGCTGGTGTTAGTTTTGTTAAATTGAGTTCAACCCATGCTCCAGCTTACTCGAGACTTGGCCTTGGAGAAAACAAACTCTTCGAGTTCTGCCGCTGATTTAGGAACCTGTGATTCTGTCTTAGTAATTTCATCTTGACTGAAATGACACGAAAAGTTTCAAAGGGAAAAGAAACATAATCAACACTTGCATCAATCAGATTGATTTCTAGCTTTCCAGTCACTCTGAATCAGCACCAGACTTTTCCAGCTTTTATTTTTGTTTCTAGATCTATGACCATTGGACACACCCTGAGGAGACCCGCGACAAGCACCATCAGGCAGGCTTTAACGTGGAACCCACAAGGAAAACGAAAGAAGGGAAGACCAAAGATGACATAGAGGTGAGCGGTACAAGCGGAAATTGAAAAAGCGGGGACATCATGGAAACAGATAGAAAAGGATGCTCAGGACAGGCTTCGCTGGAGTAATGTTGTTGATGGCTTGTGCTCCACTGGGAGTTAAAAAGGGCAAGAGAGAGAGAAAGAGAGATCTATGACCAGTTGCAATAACTGACAACATTCTGATTTCATTGCATTCATAAGTGTCCGCACAAATTTCCTACACAAAAACTAAGAATGAATGTGTTAGCTGTCATTGTTTTTATTCGGTACAAAAAGATTAAATAAAAATCTCTAACCCAGTATTTACACTGTTTTGTGTTTAAAAAATAATTGCATATCTTTCTTAGTTGTATGCACGCTGCCACAGACACAGCTTGATTCATGAACAAACACAGAATATCTTTCTTTTGTTTAATGGTAAAACAAGAGCCAAGGCTAAGTGTCTTTTGTCAAAAAATGCAGATGTACATCTTTCTTCTCTTATAACTTGACCATTTTTACCAGCGCAGATTTAAGATTTCTCATGGTACCAGACATGTTTTTCATAGTCAGTTTAACCCAGATTTTGGAGAGATCTGTTATGCCGTTTTAAAATAAACTACAATAATTCATTCACAAGTGTGTAATTAAAAATATGACAAATTGGGTACTCCACAAATATTTGTTAAGAACAAAAACTAAGGCACAGAAATTAACCATTCTAATGAAGAATAAATCTCAAGACATAGCGCTTTTATTTCCTCCATGTAATGGTTTGCTGTTTGGGATGGGGACGACGTTATATCGTTTCAAACATAGACAAAAATGCGAACTTCTTAACTGACAGCGGCAAAGTCGTTTCAGGGGTCATTAACCCCGTGACCCTGAGGTCAGGAGCGCCAGCGGGCTGCTGAGTCACGCTAACTAAAAGTAACAGAATCTGGGGAAAGGTGACGCCATGCCAAGCTCATCTTGAAAGACGTTCCCCCATTTGTTCCTCCTTCGTTTGATTACCCGTATGTCAATGATCATTTTTCTCTTTTCTATAATATATATGTACATGGTTGATGAAACACTCATAACCCCCCCTCTCTCTCTCTCTCCTGTACAAACCAGGGTTCAACTCATTCAACCATCAATTAAAAATAAACATGTAGCAGAGAAAAACACAAGAATGAGACTCAAGAAATCATAAAAGCAAAATCTAAAACTAGACAATAGGCATGAGATTAATTTAAGAACATAAATCTGTCACAGGACAGATGAACGAGTTTCAACATGCAAGCCTCAAGACTCAGAGAACTCTCACACAGTGCTTTTCCTTTTCTAAAACTAAACTTTAGGCAATTTGGACTCAGTTTAAACCTTTTTTTTTTTCTTTCCATGCTTTTTATTTCTTTTTCTTCTTTCCAAGATGAACATTTAATTTTATCTTTCACCTTTCCTTGTAATTTTTTCAATTTCCTTTTCTTTCAATATCTCATACTTTCTTATAAATTTCTTCCCCATCTCCTTCCTCTCTCTTCCATTTCCTTTCTTTTTCTCAGTCTCTTCTCCTGCTTCTCATTCTTTCTTTCACCTCTTCAGCCTTTTTCTCTCTTTCATCCTTCTTCACAAACATTTTCTAAAAATGTATCTCTTTATGTTGTTTTTTTCTTTTAAATTTCTTAAAATTCCGTCTTCATAGCTTCCATTCTGCCTTCCTGCATTTCCTCTCTCTACGGTCTTCCACTTGTTCAACTACCTGAGCTTTTCTTTATACATAAAACATGCTTTCACTAACACATAACTCATAGTCCTTTTCTTCTTTCCT